GTAGCTAAGGGAAACAATTCATTAAATACGCGTCATGCCACCAGCAGCTTGTGAAGGTGATTCAGGAAATAGATGGGTTGATATTGTGTGGGGTGGGGAGGGGGATGCATGCCCACGTGCACGCACGCAAACATGATTTCTTTTCTAAAACCACCTTTAAGTCTAAATACATGTAAAAAACATATCCAGAGCAATGAATGTTCCCAGAGAACCTCCCATGTTTATCACAAACTCAGATAAACAAAATGTTAGGAGCCCCCAAAAAGGTTTGGTCACCCCAAAGCTCAACGGCAGCCCAACACCGCAGAGCTCTGTATGAATGCGGGCTTTGGAGCTTCATATAAAGGAAATCAACAGCTTTCATCTCCCGCTTCTCTTGCTCAACACATTGTGAGTGAGACGCCCCCGGGTGGCGGCATTTCCTTCTAGAGCACAGAGTGGCTGTGCATGGCGCATTGATCTTGATCTGCGCGTCTGTGGACAGACATCTGGGTTCTTTGCAGCTTTGGGCTGACAGGAACAGGGCTGGAGGCTAAGACAGGAGGATGGCAAGTTGGAGGCCAGCCTGGGTAATTTAGCAAGACCTTATCTCAATATAAAATAAAAAGAGCTGGGAATGTAGCTCAGTAGTGGAGCAGCCCTGGGTTCAATCTCTAGTACCAAAAACTAAGAAAGTGCTACCTTAAATAGTCCTGTGCGTGTTATTGGTGTCTTTTAGTGGACATGTGCACATATTTCTGAGGAATTGCTGGGTCATTAGAACATCTAAGGTAGGTAGATGTTCGTCCCTAGGGGTTATTGCCAAATATTTTCCAAAGTGGCTGTGCCAAGTTATACAAGCAATAGTAGTAGATGAGGTTCTGCTCACATCCTCCTCTTCCTTTTCTTTTTCTTTTGAGACAGGGCCTCACTATGTTGCCCAGGCTAGTCTGGAATTCGTGGCCTCAGGCAATCCTCCTGCCTCAGCCTCCCAAATAGCTGGGACTGCAGGCAAGCCTTTAATTTGAGAAAATGAGTTCTTGAATAAGGAGCTGGCATCGGATTGCCTGCCTTTGGGTCCTAGCCATCTCCTAAACATGTGATCTCCAGGGCTGGGGGTGTAGCTCAGTGGTAAAGCACTTGCTTGTCCGAGGCCCTGGGTTCGACCCCTGCACCCAGAAGCAAACAAAACATGCGACCTTCAGCAAAGCCTGCTTCCTGATTTACAAAATGGGTTAAAAGTCACGATGTGTGCCAGGAGAGGTGGCACTGTGATTCCAGCTACTGAGAGGCTGAGGCAGGAGGATCACAAGTTCAAGGCCAGCCTGGGCAACTTAGCAAGACCCTGTCTGAAAATAAACAATAAAAAGAGAGGGGAGGTAGCACGATGGTAAATCACCCCATGCTTCAATCCTCAGTATCCCCCACCCCCAAAAAAAGAAAGCGAGAGAAGAAAAGTCATGTGGCTTTTGTGATGATTCTTAATATCTCTTAGTAAGAGCTCCATAAATGTTAGTTATTTATCACCAGTTTTACTACAGACCTCTGGAACACTTTACCTCTTCCAGCCTCAGTTTCCCTGCCATAAAATGGTTGTAAAAATACCCACATATGCACACAGTTGAGAATCATGTGTAAAAGTGCTTAATTTTTTTTTTCAGATATAACTTTTTCTTTTCCTCCCCCCTTGCTTTTTTTTTTTTTTTTTTTTTTTTTTGCACTGGGGGTTGAACCCAGGGGCTCTTTACCACCGAGCTATACATTCCAATTCTTTTTATTTGTTTATTTATTTTGGTACTAGGGATTAAACCCAGGGGACCTTAACCACTGAGCCACATCCCCAGCCCTTTTTTTATATATAATTTATTTAGAGACAGGGTCTTGCCAAGTTGCTTAGAGCCTTGCTAAGTTGTTAAAGCTGTCTTTGAACTTGCGATCCTCCTGCCTCAGCCTCCCCAGACTCTGGGACTACAGGTGTGCACCACCACACCCAGATAAAAAATTTTTTCAAAAGGCTGAGGATGTGGCTCAGTGGTTAAGTGCCTCTGGGTTCAATCCTTGGTACAAAAAAAAAATTAATTTTGAGACAGGGTCTTGTTGTCAAGGCTGGCCTCAAAGTTGTGATCCTCCTGCCTCAGCCTCCTAAATTGCTGGGATTGCAAGTGTGGACCACCACATCCAGCTGAGATATAATTTACAAAATATAAAATTCACCCCTTTTCAGTGGTTCAGTCTGGAAAGAAACTCCTAGCCCATTAGCCATCAGGCCCCCCTCCCTAGCCCCAACCCTCAGCAATTGCTAACTTGCTTTCTATTTCTATGGATCTTTAAAGTGCCAATTTATTAGTTTTCTAAAGTTTTTTTACTTTTGCAAAAGCAAAAATTAAATACTAACATCACTGCTTGACTCTAAAGCAAAGCCAACTTGTGGGTAAATTAATGTGTTTAGACACCCCCCCAAACTGTGTTTGACATGATTTCCAAAAGTATGTGTTTTGGACATAATGTATTAAGATGTACTTAATACATTTGTGTGTGTGTGTGTGTGTGTGTGTGTGTGTGTGTGTGTGTACAGATAGATAAGATAGATGGGTGAGTAGACAGATGGGTAGATGAAAGGATGGGATAGATACAGGATGGTCCAGGCGCAGTGTCACACACCTGTAATCCCAGCAGAAGATTGCTGGTTTGAGGTCAGACTGGGCAATTTAGCAAGATCCTGTCTCAAAATAAAAAGTAGTAAAAAGGGCTGGGGATGTAGCTCAGTGATAAATCATCCCTGGGTTCAATCCTCCCTCCTGAGAAAAAGAAAGAAGGATAGGCCGGGTGCGGTGGTGCACACCTGTAATCCCAGTGGCTAAGGAGGCTGAGGCAGGAGGATCATGAGTTCAAAGCCAAGCTCAGCAATTTATCAAGACCCTGTCTCAAAAAAAGGGGGAGGCTGGGGATGTGGCTCAATGGTTAAACACCCCAAGGTTCAATCCCCAGTTAACCCCTTGGCAAAAAAGAGAGAAAGATAAATGGATGGATGGATGGATGGATGGATGGACGGACGGACAAAGCACACCTAGCAGACAGCTGCAGCTCATTTATTCAACAAACACCCGTGTGCACTTGGGAAAATGGGCCATAGAGAGAAGCAGGATGTGATTCTTGCTTCCAAGGAATTTGCCATCTAGTGGGAAAGAGAAACCCGTGCACCCCTCGCTGTGAATGCAGAACAAAAGGAAATTAGACTTGAATGGACTGGCACAAGGGTTGGGGGAGACTTCGATTTTTACCTGGAGAACCCTCAGAAGAGGTGGGAGGTGGTACTTCAAGAATGTATCCTGATGGGAAGGCAGTGTGGGGGAGGAATACTGAGAGCCAAGGCTGGGAGGCGGGGACACATGGTGTCAAGCAGGTCCACTGGGAACAGCCGGCTCTTCACACCCCAGTCAGGGCTTGTCTTGCACCTCCATGGATGGTAAACCAGAATTGTTTTCTGAGAGGCCATGGGTAGAAGGGGTCAGATGGGAAAGGCAGTGAGAGGGGAGTCAGGCTAGCTGTGCTGCATTCTGGGCAGGGCCACCCTAAACCAACTGTGACATGTCAGAATTTGTGGACATTCTCACATTTATTGTGTACTATGGTATTGTTCTGTTTTGAATTTCACAGGCAGAACGTGTCTTTTCAGTATGAGACCTCCCAAGGTGTCATCAGGCCCTGCAAAGGGTAAAAAGAAGTGCAGAGGGCTCTTGATTGGCAGTTAATGACCGGGGAAGGGAAGGGAAGGGCAAGGGAGGGAACTCACCCATAATCCTTCCACTCCACTCAAACCCAGCTCAGGAGAAAGTCTCTGAAACTGAAGGAGGACAACCCTGAGATTTACTGCTGGGGACAGGAAGCCAGGGAGGAATGCTGAGGGGGAGCCAGGGACACTGATAGCAAAGACTTTGAACTTTGAAGCAAGGGTCAAGTTGCCAGATCCTAAGAAATGGCTGAATTCAGTGTCCCCATTATACAGGTGGAGTGACCAGGAAGACAGATTTGCCCAAGGTCATTTATGGAATTAGTGGCAGAGCAAGGATTATTTGGGGTCTCTGCTTGAGCTAAGGCCCCTGAGTTGGGAGCCACAGGGAAGGGAGAAAAAGGAGGTCCTACTTCCTACCCCCACCCGCATGGTCCAGTAAGGTGACAGATGTGAATGCTCCCACCGGGTTTCTATCCTCAGACGCAGGAACAAAAGCTGGACCTCAGCGTCAGTGAGAGGAGGGGATGCTTCTGCGCTGAGTGCTTCCTGGGGGATGTCCAGGGGACGGTGGCCAAGGCTCCCCCTTACCCACCACTGGTAATGGTCCTGCTGAGCCTCTCAGGACTCACAACCAGGGAACCCCGAAGTATGCCAATCATAGATGTGAATCTCTCAGCTGTTGGAGGACCGTGAGGGGTCAGGAGCCAAGAGATCAGGGAGGTCGGGTAGATGGACAGTAGTTAGGTGGGGGGAGAAGCCACCCGAAAGCACGAAACCAGGCAAGGAGGTGTGATGATCGACTTTCCTGAGAACCCTTTTGTAGGGGCGGTTCCATGAGGACTCCAAGTGGTCAAATCAGAAGGGAGGGACAGAGGGGAGGTCGGGACAGACCCCTCAACGAGGGTATCCCGGGACTCACACCTGGGACGTCGATTGAGCCAATATAAGCCCCGCCCGGTCCGCTCCCTTCCCCCCTCCCCCCTCCCCCCTCCTCTTCTCTCTCAACCACCTCTACTGTAAAACATTGTGTATATATACCAGTTTCTTTATCAGTTCAGCTATTGAAGG